GCCCTCCAGGAGCCTGTGACCCCTCCCCAGCATCAGCCAGGCTCAGAGATATGATGATGGGAGTGGGTGGGTGCCAGGATATTTCAGCTGGCAACCTCCACATATTAACTTGCTGAAACCCCATCACCACCCCATAGATAGATACTATTATTAATCCCATTTTACAAGTGAGAAAACGGGCTCAGAGAGGTTATATGACTTGCCAAAGGTCCCACGGGAAAAGAAGAGACAAGATTAAACCCAAGACATATTGCCCCAGAACTCATACTTTCAAACTCTCCTCTGGGATCAAGTCCAAGCTCATTAATATGCATCCAGGGCCTCTCAGAACCTCAATCTCTTCATCTGTCTGTGTAATGCCTCTGCTCCAGTGCCTGCACACGTAGGCACTCAATACACCTTCACCTTCCCTGTTATTAGGGTGACAAGGTGTGCCCCCACCTGTTTCTCTACACCCTCCTTAGCCCCAAATCCCTTAGGATCCTGGAATGTGGGGCTTGGAAGGGCCAGCTCCCTCATTGGCAGATAGGGGCAGGGAGGGGCAGAGGCGGGGAGACCTTGCCCAAGCCCCGGTGTGTGAGGAACAGAGCCAAATGTGCACCCCGATCTATGGGACTCAGTCCCCGTCACTGCAATGCAGCCAGTTTCAGGCTAGGCTCTCTGCTCCCACCACTCCTTCCAGAAAGCTCTCTTCTCCCCCATCTGGGTTAGACACCTCCCCTGGGTTCTCAGGGCTCTGACCTTGGCTCTGATCCAGCCTTGTTGTGGTTGCTGGTTTACTTGCTGTCTCCCATGCTTGGCAGGGTGCCCCACACAGGCAGGTACTTGCTGGTCCACCTCCAAGTCCCTGGTGCCCAGCTGAGCCCAGCATGAGCAGGGCATTAGGGAAGTTTGAATGCAAGAAGGAAACCTTGAGTGGGGCAGAGACCTTCTCCAGGTCATACAGCAAGTTGGAGCAGAGCTGGGAGCCCCATGAAACTCCCCAAGACTCTCCAGGTTCCAACTGCTCTCAGGACCCAACAAAGCCTAGGGACAGAGCACTGCCTGTAATGGCCACTCTAGTAGAGAGTGCCCAGGGGCATCTGTCCTCTGCTGCTCCCAGAGGCCTGGGGCCAAGGACACCCTGTCTCCCTCCTGCCCCCACCACTGTAGAAGGATGTTCTCAAGATAAAAATACCCTCTGAAACATTTCCTGGTGCTTGGCCTGACCTGTTGTCCACCCTGGGGGCCAGAAACTCCTCTCCTAGCTTCCCTTTAGGGCTCAGGATGGATGTCCACCCCTCCTGGCCTCTTGGTGCAGCCTATTCCTGGGGTCGATGTGTCCAGTCCCTGTCTCCAGACCACAGAAGGTGAGGGGCCTGAGGGGTCGTAGGTACTTGTGGAGGCTGCGACCATCATGTACCAAGCACTACCTGCCGACCAGCACTACCCCATGCACAGAGGAGCAAGGCAGCCAGAGTGCTGCCTCAGTGCAGCTCACAGCTCGCTTGCATCGTCGCCTGTTGGAGTGCATTTGGAGAGCATTACTCAGGGCCATGTGGGAGGGTCAGGGATGTGCCAGCTTTGATCCCATTGGGAATCCCCATTATGCTCTGAGCTGCCTGTGCCAGTGGTTGTCAGAGCCAGAAAACTCCTTTCAGAGAACACTGGGAGGACCTGGCACTTAGTATGGCTCTGTGTGCCACACAGTGGGATATGGCCTCAGTTTACCCTCTTGGCAGTCTCCTGAGGAAGGTGGGGTCTACCTATTTTGTAGATGAGGAGGCTGAGGCCCAGGGAAGGAGTTCCAGTGAACTGGGGGTCAGCCAGGCCTCGAATGCAGCGCTGCAGAAATGCGGACTTGCTGGCCCCTTGGGCCCCACCCCTCCAGGGATGACTGATGTCCTGATGATGATTATGACAGCTGCCTCTTCCTGGAGTCCTGCTGTGCCAGGCCCTGTGCCCAGAGCATACCTCCCTCACCACATTGAATTTCACGATCACATCCCCCGGGAAGCCAGGCATCAGCCCATTTTGAGGAAGAGGAAGCTGGGCCTCAGGAAGCAGAAATGCCTTGCCCTGTGCCCCCTGCAGTTTCAGCTCCGGTCTTGGCTGACCAGTTGGTGCTGGGGGTAAAGGCTCCAACCTGGAGGCTCCGGTGTCAGTCCAGGTCCTGATCTCACTTGCTGGGAGACTGAGGGCCAGTCTGGCCTCTCTGGGTTCAGGCTGCCTTTCTGTTTTATGCAAACCTTGCCCCCCCCCCACCTTGACTACACCATCCAGGACTGTTACAATGACTAGAAAAGTGGTGAAATTCAGAGGGCCGAGCTCACTCATGGGCTGCTGCAGCCACTGCAGGGTGTTAGGGAAAGCACTGGACAGGGCATCCAGAGACCTATGTTCTTGTCTCCATGCCACCACTCACTCAGTGGTTTGTGGTCTTGGGCAAATCACTTCTCTGTTCTGAGCCTCATTTTCCCTGTAGAATGGAACTATTTTTGCCTCCCTCATGAGTGAGAACAAATCTGACTGACTGGATTTGTAGGTCTATAGAAAGCCCCTTCCACAACACAGGGAGTCAGGGACAAGGTTGAAAGAGCCTGGGGCAGGCCAAGTGACCAACAGGAAGTGGAGAAGGGCAGGCTGCCCATATCTCTTACCCACACCCCTTTTCCCTAACCTCCTTTGGCTTCCTTGTCCTGTGACAGACACGTCTGCTCAGAGTTTCAGCTCTAGGCGACCCAGGGCAAGTGACTTAAACTCTCTCGGCCTCAATTTCCCTGTGTGTCCAGTGGGGAGAATCATCTTTCCCTCAAGGTGGGACTGTGAAGACTAGAGTAACTGAAGGCAGCAGCTGAGCCTTCACAATGTGGGCCTCCTCAAAGGGACAAGCATTAGAGCAGAGCCCTGGTCACAAGTCCTTGCGATTGAGATTCCCAGCTGTGGGCAGTGGTCGATGATAGAGCCTCCCTGAGCCTCAATTGCCCCATCAGTTTTTACAGTGAAAGACCTAAGAGAGGCACTGCAGGACCTAGGGCAGCTGATCAGGGAATGATGAGGGATGGGAAAGCAGGGGGTGAGGACCAGGAGTCTTGAGGTGAGAGCCCAGAGGGTGAAGAGGGAGCAGCCAGGCCATCCCCATACAGAGTAAGCAGAGGCCTAGAAAGGGGAAATGACTCACCCAAGGTCACACCGCTTGTGAGGGGCAGAGCTGGAACTTGAACCCAGCTCTGTGTGCCTCTAAACCCATTACTGTTGCCTGCCTCAGGAGACTTATGATTTAAGGGTGACTCACCAAGTTACCTTAATCCCAGCCAGAAAAGCCAGTGTGACAGTGGATTACAGCCAGCCTTAGCTATGAAAGGCTCAGTGACTAACAGGTGGGGGAAGGTGAGAAGGGCATTCTAAGTCAGCTTGCCTCTGGAAATTCGTAGAGCCCCTTCCCAACATACTCTCCCCTGATCCTCATGGCACAAGAGGAAAGCAGGGGGCCCCTTTGACAGATGGGAAAACTGAGGCTTGGGGGTTTCAGGGACCATGTAGGATGTGTGGTAGCTCCAGGTCAGTCTCTGACAAGTTACTGATGTGCATCCATCTACACGAGGTGTGATCAAAAACTATGGTGAATGCTGCTGCCAAGTGCCATCCAACGGAAAGGCAGGGATCTTCAATATGGGAAGCGGCATGTCAAACCTTAGTAACAGTGTGTGACAAGTTTCAACTTGTTCAGTAGTCAGTCAGGTGTGCACTACGGTTGAAAGAAGGTGTGTTTTAAAGTATGTCATCTGGTAACCACTAAACTATTGGTAGATGAGGGTAAATGAGGTCAAATATATTGTGATAGAAGGAGAACTGATTCTTGCGGGGTGAACATACAATGTGATATATAGATGATGTATTACAGAATTGTATACTTGAAACCTATGTAATTTTACTAACCATTGTCACCTGAATAAATTTTCATTAAAAAAAAAATGGTGTGCTGTAAATCATCCTCCATCATAACAAGGCTCCATGTCACACATCTCTTCTGGTATACAGCCATTTCTGTCCAATAAAAACATTATGGTGTGTCCTCATCCACCTTATTCACCGGATCTGGCACCGTGCAACTTCTGGCTCTTCCCCAGAAGTCAAAATGATTCTGGACATGGAGGCAGCCACGACAGCGCAACTAAAGTCACTCACGAAGGAGGACTTCCAGAACTGCTTCAGAAAGTGGCAAGGATGATGGCATAAGTATGTTTGAAGCGAGGGGGAGTATTTTGAGGGAGAATAATGGCAATGTGTCTTTTACTGCAATGAATTGTTTTTTATTTAAACATTCACTGTATTTTTTATCACACCTCGTATAGTCACCCATTCATATACCCACTCCTGTATCTATCTATCCTACCAACAACTTCATCCAGTCATTTATTCACCCATTCCTACCCACTCACCCCCCCACACACACACACACACACTCACCCACCCATGCATTATCCATCCATCATCCATCCATCTATAGCCCACCCATCCATCTACCCATCCTCCACCCATCCATCCACTGCTGGGCCCTGCGATTGGTATTGGGAAGGCTCTGCACGTGGTAACTAGGAGCACAGGCTAGGAACCCAAGTTTTTCTGTGATCTTAGGAGAATTACCACATTACCTACCTCTGGAATGGGAACAGCAATAGTTCCAATCTTGTGGGGTTGTTGTGAGCATTACATGAGTTAATGTCTGGACACCTATCACAGTGTCTGGAATGTATTAGGCATTTGCTAAATATCATCTGTTATTTTCCCTGGGAAACCCATCTTGTATTGCCCTTCTCTGGTTCTGAAAGTTTGTTATGGACAGGCTCACATGCTGCAAAGGTGAGGGGCACAGAAGTGTGGGAGGCCCCTCCACCTCTCTTGGGACCCTGGAGGAAGCAAGCAGAAATATGGATTCATGTGGAAATTTATGACTTCCGAGCCCCTCTAAGGAAAGTGACACCGTCTACAGTAATTTTGGTTTGCTTTGTTAACTTTAGGGCCTTCTAGCAACTGATTCCTCTCCAGCTGGTGCCTGGGAAATGGCAGCTGCTGCTAATGCAGCCTTGAAGACAGCCACTTGCCCAGTCAGCACTGTTACTTAGAAGATAGGATTCAAGAGGTAAGATTAAGGTCACTGGTGTGGACTTGTCCATCTAGTCATCCATTTCACCAAACACTCATCTATGCACCTACCCACCCACTCATCTATCTATTCGTCTACTTAATCACCCTTCCACCCACCTATTTAACCTCTAATTTACCCATTATCCATGCACTAGTTCCACACATCCCCCCATCCATCTACCTATCTACTTACCTATCCAACCCATCCAGCCATCTTTCCATCCATGTATTCTCCCATGTCCCAACTACTCATCTACCCTCCCCAGCCATTCATCTACTCACCTAACCCCCCATCCATCCTTCCATCCACTGATTCATCCATCTATCATCCACTCACTAACCTATCCAATCATTCTCCACCCACCTAATCCATCTGTCTCTCTGGTCACCACCAATGCATTCATCCACCCATCTGTCAGTCCTATTTATTCATCCATATGCTTGACCACCCATCTGTACATATATCTGTCTCCTCATTCATTGATCCATCCATCTCTTCATCAATTACTGTATTCAACTGCTTACTCCCTCATTCTTTTGTCGGGTCAGTGAGCATTTCTTGGATGCCCTGTCTGTGCCAGGCTTGCTTCAGCTGTTGTGGGCCTCTGAGGTTGGCCTGGCAAGGTCAACTGCCACACAAGGTAGAGAGTAGTTTCTGGCCCTAACAGGAGAAATCCAGAGCCAGAGAATCCAAAAGGGTGTCATGGAAGTAATGGCCTTCAGCTGATCCCTAATGGATGGGAAGATTTTAAACATTCCCTTTCACTACGATTTGGGGGTTGGGTCACATGGGGCAGAGGGGCACCACAGTGAAATCCATCAAAAACCTGTTGCCATGTCTTGACAGGAGTGGCCTGGACAGGATGGTGGCTGTAGGTAAGGAGACAGTGGATGGCTTTGAGAATTCAGGAGGTAAAATGCATAGGACCTAGTGAGGGAGTAGATATGGGAGCTGAAGGAGAGGGTGGAAGCCAGGCTTCTGGCTGGGGTGACTGGAGAATTGGTCAGGCTGCCAACTGACCCCATGAGGAGAGGAAAGGTAAGAGTGGGGAGAGGTAAGGTAAGGAAGGGGGAGAAGAAGGAGAGGAGAAGAGGTGGAAAAGAGGAAGGGGGCGGAGGTTTGGAAGAAGAGGAACCATATTGGCCATGTGGTGCTGTGGGGCATCCAAGAGGAGAGGCTTGGGTTCTGGAGCCTTTGCCACAGAGGGACGACCTGAGGCCTGTGAGGGAGGCCCAAGAGGCAAGGTTCCCTGCAGACAGTTTAGTGGTTGGTGATCCCAGGAAGTACTAGAGGGGAGAGATCAGGAAGGAAGGAGTCACCATGGGGTGTATTTTCAACAAAGTCACTGCTGGGGGCAACTGGATCTCAAGAACCTGGGGAGGCAGCATAGAGCAGGCACCCCAGAGTGTGCTTGTGGGAGGCAGGGAGCTGACCAATGACCAAAGGCTTCTGGGGCATTCATTCCCTAGCCTGCCCGACACATGAGCAAAGCGTGCTCCAGTGGCTAGAGAGAACTTTCAGGCAAAAAGATTGGTATTAGTGGTTGGATTTGGGGCAGTGGGCCCCAGAGTGGTGAGGGCCCAGGGAATGGGTGACAAACCAACCACCCCTATCCCCAGCACATACCAATGTATTGTTGCTGTTTCTCTCCTCAGGCCTAACATGGTCTTGGCACAGAAAGCCTGCACAAATGTTTGCAGGCCATGGGTGCGCACTGTGGGCAGAAGCTGTCTGTGTGTTGGCCTGCAAAGGTGATCCTGTACATGAACTTGTCATCTTTTCCCCAGATTGTGAGAATGGAAGTGGTCCCCCTCCCAACCCTCCATCTCCCCTCAGCACCAGCTCTTGGCTCTCCTCACACCAGCCTCAGCCTCCTCACTGACCACCCCCCGCCAAGTGTGCCAGCATGTTCCCCCCACCACTTGCTCCACAGTGCCCCCACCAGAAAAGCCTCTGCACTCCTAGCCCTCAGTGCCTGTCCCCATTGAGCTACCCTGCCTCGCTGTGCTGCACCCTCCAGGCTTGGCCCTATCTCTCACTTCCTGTGTGACTGAGTAAGGGAGCCCCTCTTGGCGCTTCGGCCTCCCCATCTTTAAATGAAAGATTGGATTTTTAAAGCTCTCATGCTAAGTCTGATGGATAGTGAATGGATTAGGAAAGATTCTGAGGCTGTCCCAGGACACAGTGAAAAAAAAAGTTTAAGGATGGGTTAGTGATGTCTGCCACAGGCACAGGCTATAGGAGGAAGTGCTTGTAGTCCACACAGTAGTTTTCCCTGAACTAAGTGATCTATAAGGATTTCTCCAATTGTAAGACTTGATCATGAGGTCGTGAGTGCCCTTACCCTGGACATTTTAAGCAAGGGCTAAATGTCCATGGGTCAAGGGTGCTGGTGCGAGTCTGACCTCTGCTTTTGAGTGCTGAGATTCAGGCTGTGTGTATGTCTTATCACCACATGGGATTGCAAGGGCTTTGAGGACTGAGACTAGAATACAGTGTCATGCTCAGTCTGGCCTTGAGGCCTGAGGGACGTGGAGGATTGATTTTCCTCCTAACTCCAGATTGGACACTTATTCTTTAAAGGCTGTGCGACCCTGGGCAAGTGACTCAGCCTTAGCTTCAGTTTCCTCATCTGGAAAATAGGGTAATGATCATAATGTTGTTATAGAAATTAAGCACGTTAATTAGAGCTCTTAGAACAGTTCCTGTGAGGTAGTAAGCACTGGATAAGTATTGACTACTATACTCATACCTCTGAAGGGGTCCTGGTCAGCTGAGAGGCCTCTGAGGGAGGGGGACCTTGAGCCCTGTCCCCTTAAGGCCCCCTCCACTGACACTTCTAGTCACTGCTTTCTTGGCATCTGAGAATGTGGGCCCGGGCCTTGCCCTAGTCTCCTCCCGGATGTCCCCGAAACCTGAGGTGTCCAGAGCCTCAGGGGACTGGGCATAGGGTGTCCTCTTCCATTCAGAGGCCCCTCCCGCTCACTTTCAGGATCCTCCCACTGGTCATGTGGTAGCTGCCTCTCTAAAGGCTTCCAGCCCAGGTCCAACTGGTGTTCTGAGCACGCTGGATCCTGGGAAGCTGTATCCACAGCCCCTGGGGCTGGCAGGGACAGCTTCGTCACTTCTCAGGGGCTCCAGGTTCACGTTCTTCACTGCCTGTTTTCCGCCTGTTGGACTTGCTTCACTGCTGTCTCTGGTGTGGAAGTCACCTTTTCTAGTTCAGGTAATGCACCCCAGTGCCTTTCTCCCATTCCTCCTGGAAATGCCCAGGACCCTTGTTGGCCAACCTGGGCATCTGCTAAGGATGGTCCTGCTATCTTTACCATCTCATCCACATTCACAAGTTGCTTTGTGACCTAGGATGAGCCTCAGCCTCAGTTCTCTCATTTATAAAGAAGGGAGCTGGCCTCCTTGTTTGCTACGGCTTCTTCTCGCAAAACAAATCTAATTCCATTTCTTATCTGATTTAATCATATACCTCATTAAGCAAGAGCCAAACAGGCCTGCAAATCCCTGGTTGAGGATACCATCCTACATTTCTTAAATTGAGTCCTTAAAGACCACACACCTGTGCGACCTTCTTGCCATGCCTGTGTGTGTGAGAAGCGTCTTCCTTGGGACGTCTGGCAAGTTTGTGGTGCTGGGGTTTCTACTCATGGGTCCTCTTCTGGGTCTTTCTTTGTGGTGCTGTATTCACCAAGAGTCTGTGAGGGGCTCCCCACGCCCCAAGTGTCTCACACACATACACATATGCATGTACACACGCACATGCCTATACACACACATGAGTGTGCATGCACACAGCACAATGGAGGCATGAGAGACTGAGGATTGGACCAACACATGTCCCCAACTCTGTCTCTGTTCTTTACTTTCTGGGTGACTTTGGACAAGTGGCTTTGCTCTGAGTCTCAGTTTCCAGCTCTGAGAAAAGGGGGAGTGGATGTGAACCTGACCTTGTTGATTTTCTCTGTGTGGTTTTAAGAGGAATGTCAACAGAAGAGGGGATTCCCAGGTCTGTGTGACACGGTCTCGGTGGGTCCCAGGTGCCCAGCCCAGCAGATATGCTGGGAGTCAGTGCAGCAGCCACATCTGCTTGTGAGCTGGCCAGGCATAAGGCTGCCCAGCTGTCAGGAGCAATGCACCAGGCTGTGCCCTCCGGTCTTTGATTCTTGTAATTCTGTTCCATGCAGGCCTTGAGCTGCTTGGAGCCCCAGTTGAAACAGCCACAACCCATTGGATATCCCTCAAGGCCTCAGGCCACACAAACCTACCCCTTGTGATCTGGGTACCTGGCACCAGAGTACCCCAACTCTGGCCACCTCTCCCTGGATGGTCCAGGAATCTGTGGCTGAGCTGTTTCCCCAGCACAGTCCCTGGGTTCCCCACCACCGCCAACTCCCTGCCTCATGGACCAGGCAGAAGCAGCATCCACCATTGAGGCCTCTGGTCTCAACACCTCAGACCCATGGTGAGGTGGTCAGCTGAAGCACCTGTGGAGGGAGGATGGAAGCATGAGGAGAGGCCCCTGCAGAGCCTGGGGCCTCATGATGGGAGATGTTGCATTAGACAAAAAGGTTTGAATCTCAGTTCTTCTGCTTATTGCTGTGTGGATTTGGGAAAGTCAATACATCTCTCTGAATTTCCATTCAGAGAATAGAAGTACAGATAGCACCTACCTCCTTGAGCTGTTACTGGATGACTTAAGAGCATTTGCTGATGTGTCTTGCTTGCTCTGTCTTCGGTTTGAGGAGCTGTTTCACTCAAGCAATAAGCATTGTGTGGGTAGCATGTGTGTGCCAGTGCTGGCATCCAGCAGCACCTGGCAACAGATACGGACTCTGGGAGAGGTTTGCAGCCTTGTAACCTGAGGACTCCACCCTAACCTATCTCCTAGAGGTTTGGAGCAGAGGTCAGAGCTCATTGCTCCTCTAAGGCTCTGGGTGCACCTGGTCACACAGATCAGGGCTGAATCCCAGCATTGCCACCTCCTGGCTATGTCACTTCTAGTTTCTGAGCCTCTGGTGGATGCCCAGCTGTCTGCCTCCCTGCTCCTGGCCTGGCCACCCTGGGACCGTCTCATCTGGGTCCTCATTGTCTTCTGGGCACTCGAGGGCTCCTAGTCTTGTCTAGCTCTGACCTTGTAATGTGACCAGGTGGGAATTGGGGGTCCATGGGGTCCCCACGGGTGGGGAGGAACATGCCCAACTCCTCAGCGCCTTGTCCAGGCCAGCTGGCAGGGAGTTTCCACCTCCTTCCAGCCCAGCCCAATCTTGCTGAGACAGGCTGAGGTCCTGAGCACCCGCAGCCCCGATGCTAATGGCTAGATGGCATCAGTGCCCACAGAGCCAGGCGGTGCCATGGCTCCCAGCCTGTGGATGCCTCAGCCTGGCACCAACAGGCTATCCTGGAGCCAGCAGGGCACTGGGGGAGGGGTGGCCACTGGCCTATGTGTCTGGGGGCTGGACATGTACTGCCAGCCATGGGAACAGTGTTTATCTGGTGTGAGTGCATGCCATTTGGCATGCCCTGAGACTGCCCAGTGTGCATGAGTGTGTATGCACATGGCAGGCCAACTAGTCACTTCCTTGAGTGGGCCAAGGATGGTAACACTTCTGAGTGCTCCCCATGTGCTTTTTAGACCTGAGGAAACTGGGGATGGGGGATGACAATGAGCTGCGGTCAGCTGTCAGTAACCCCTCAGGGTGCCAACCTAGGGTTCCCCTTCTAGCTACTGCTGACAAGGAGGCAGAGGGTGTGACATATCGGTGCTGAGAGTGTGTACCTGGGGTACAGTGCGTGAGCATCAGGAGGGTGAGTGGGACCCAGCTCCTTGGAAACAATGCCTTTTCTAAGTCCTGGGGGTGAGACAGCACTGAATGAAACAGCAAATTCCTTGTGCTCAGGTGGCCAGTGGTCTCAGGATAGGGATGGTGGCCAAGTACAACCCCATGGACATCATTGCAGTTACTATTATTATCATTATTAGGTCAGAGGTCACGGCTGAAGGGTTACAATGGAGACCTGGGTGGGATATACCATCTCCCGAGGGCACAGAGAGACCTCTGGAGATGTTCTTGTGGCATTAAAGCCAAAGTTTGAAAGACGGAGGTGGTGAGAAAATGCCTGGGAAGGGAGGGTCTGTAATAGCGGGCCATAGCAGGGTGAATGAGGGAGAGGCTGGGACGCAAGATCCAAGGGGTCCCAGGCTCTGCTCATGCAGACTCTGCAGGTGCCAGGGGGCTCTGGCTTTGAGCAGATGATGGAGCAGATGATGATGGACAGGTTCCCCCTGGCTGCCACTGGACTGAGGTTGGACGGGAGCAGGGAGGTTGGTGAGGTGGGCGCCATGCTGGTCCAGGTGGGTGATGATGGGGACTCAGGCCATGAGGGTGGGTGAAAGGGTTGGATCCTAAATATATTTTGAAAGCAGAGCCCTTGGTGTAGGAGTAAGAGGAGTTGAGAATGAAGCCAATGTTTTGGGCTGGAGGCACTAGAAGGATGGAGTGTCAGTTTTCCAAGCCTAGAAGGAGGGTGAAGTGCTGGCTTAAGGTGAAAGGGAAGATCAGGGGCTTAGTTGTGGGTAAATTAGGGTCAAATATCTGCCAATCATTTCTGAGGGCCCTGGGTGGGGGCAGAGGCATGGGCAGGTGTGGGACACATGCTGTTCTATCTGTTGCAGGAGCCACCGTGCCCGGAGCCAGCCTGAATGTGATCCGGGGCCTCCCCATCCCTGGGATGACCACAGCTAGCTGGGCCAACCCCTACAGCATTGTGTCATCAGAGGAGGACGGGCTGCACCTGGTCACCATGTCGGGCGTCAATGGCTTTGGCAACGGCAAGGTGCATACACGGCGCAGGTGCCGAAATCGTTTCGTCAAGAAGAACGGCCAGTGTAACATTGAGTTTGCCAACATGGATGAGAAGTCCCAGCGCTACCTGGCTGACATGTTCACCACCTGCGTGGATATCCGCTGGCGCTACATGCTACTCATCTTCTCGCTGGCCTTCCTTGCTTCCTGGCTACTTTTCGGTGTCATCTTTTGGGTCATCGCTGTGGCCCATGGCGACCTGGAGCCAGCTGAGGACCGCAGCCACACGCCCTGTGTGATGCAGGTTCATGGCTTCATGGCAGCCTTCCTCTTCTCCATTGAAACGCAGACCACCATCGGCTACGGGCTGCGCTGCGTGACGGAGGAGTGCCCAGTAGCCGTCTTCATGGTGGTGGCGCAGTCAATTGTGGGCTGCATCATTGACTCCTTCATGATTGGTGCCATCATGGCCAAAATGGCCCGGCCTAAGAAGCGGGCACAGACGCTGCTGTTCAGCCACAATGCTGTTGTGGCGCTGCGCGACGGCAAGCTCTGCCTCATGTGGCGTGTGGGCAACCTCCGTAAGAGCCATATCGTGGAGGCCCATGTGAGGGCTCAGCTCATCAAGCCAAGGGTCACAGAAGAGGGTGAGTACATCCCACTGGACCAGATTGACATCGATGTCGGCTTTGACAAGGGCCTCGACCGCATCTTCCTGGTGTCGCCCATCACCATCCTGCACGAGATCGATGAGGCCAGCCCACTGTTTGGCATCAGCCAGCAGGACCTGGAGACAGATGACTTTGAGATTGTGGTCATCCTGGAGGGCATGGTGGAGGCCACGGCTATGACCACACAGGCCCGAAGCTCCTACCTGGCCAACGAGATCTTGTGGGGCCACCGCTTTGAGCCTGTACTCTTTGAGGAGAAGAACCAGTACAAGATCGACTACTCGCACTTCCACAAGACCTACGAGGTGCCCTCCACACCCCGTTGCAGTGCCAAGGACCTGGTGGAAAACAAGTTTCTCCTGCCCAGTGCCAACTCCTTCTGCTATGAGAATGAGCTGGCCTTCCTGAGCCGTGATGAAGACGACGAAGTGGACGAAGACCAGGACAGCAGTAGTCCTCATGCCAGGCACGACTTTGACAGACTCCAGGCCAGTGGAGGCACCCTTGAGCAGCGGCCCTACAGACGGGAGTCAGAGATCTGAGCCAGTTAGCCAAGGTGCTAACATCCGCCCAGCCAGGGTAAGGCCTGCGTACTGCAAGGGCCCTAGGTTTGAGCAGAGCGGACCAGGCGCCCCAATTGCAGACTCAGTAGCATTGTAGATGTTTTATGCTTCTTCACAATGGCCTCAGAAGATTGGCAGGAAAGTGAAAGGCTGGAGTGGGTGCCCCACCCCCACCTCAGAGGCCTGAGCAGGCTCAGGGGCAAGTAGGTGGTGTCCTGGGGGCTGGGCCACGGGAGCTAAGGGTTTTTGCCTGAGGAAAGAGATATAGCCTGCCCATAAGTGGCTCAACAGCCGCCCAGCCTTTGGGCAAAAGTTGGCATGCTGCAGGGCATCTCACTGGTTTTTAACTTGGGGAGAAACAACGGGTTTTGGCTTTCTCAATCATAGCTTGAGTATGACTGTTTACAAAAAAAAATTAACAAGTGATTTAAAATTGTTTTAATTCATGAAGGTACAAAAGAAGGACAATTAAAATGCCATAAGTCTGCCAGGACACAAGCAGCTGTGTGAAGGCTCCAGAAGGTCCTCTCCTCTGAGAAGGCCAGGCATGAGTGGGTGGCTCCCAGGCAGCAAGCACAGTGCTCACCAACGTTCTTTATGCACATGAACAGATTAGATTCCACCTGTGATAGAAAAACCAAGACCATGTTAATGATCATAATAAAAGCTTTCCAATGTCATAGAGGTGAGGATAGGGGCTGGAGGAAAAACCTAGTTTGAGCTTTCTGAGTTTGAGTTTGTACTTTAGAGGTGCATCTCAGGGCCAGATATGAGACCTGCCCACAGTGGAGAGTCCCCTCTCCTCCAATACACTGGATTCTCCAGTTTTGTTTCTCTCTCCTTTTCTGGCCAGTGGCCTCTACCCCATACACAGTGAGGGGAAGTTGGGAAAAGTAGGACTGGATGGCTCCATGGGAAGGGAAGCCAGACTATGAGGAAGCTGATCAGCCCCATCCTGAATGGGGCCCTAGGGTCAGTCGTGCCTTAGAGACCTGGTGGTCTGGCTCCAGCTGTTTCTGTTTTTATTGGACTCCCCTGTCCTCCTCGCTGCCGTGACTCTACTGCAAAGTCCTTGCCAGCCCCTCTGTCTGCAGAGGCTGGGCTGAACTGATGCTCCCCCTGCACCTGGAGCAGCACCACCTGTGAGCCCAGGTCAGTGGCAGCCAGGCTGTACCCTTCCTTGAATTGCAGAGGAACAATTTTAGGAAAGGTGTGGAATTGTCAGTCAAGGTACTGGGAATGACATCCACGCACCCTAGTCAGGAAGAGGTTTGGGCTTTGCTCTCCCAGAAGCGGGCCTCTGGACCCGGAACTGCCCAATGTGGGCTTGTTCTTGGCAGAGAAGACATCTGGTGGGGGCTGCACCCTGGGATGGAGCTGGGAACTTTCCCAGGACAGTTAAGAATGCTGTGCTCCCAAATGACTAGGCCCATAAGGAAGTCAGTATTAGAAAGCTAGGGTCTCCTCAACCTGCCTTTCCACGCCTCTCCAATCTGTGCAAGACAGCTCTCAACCTAAAGGCACCAGGTCTCTGTGAGGCAGAGTGCAAAGTCATGCAAATAAGGGGTGGAACTTGGGGGAAAGGGAGAGGCTGGGCCCTGGGTGGGGTCTCTTGCCTCTTCCCTCCTCCTCCAACCCTGGAGACCTGACCTGAGGTCAGGGGTTGTGGAGGGCCTGGACGCAAGCTGTCAGCTCCCACCCGGAGACACCCTGGCAGCCCCTGCCCTTAGATAGGCCTGACTGCTGACACCCTGTCCTAGACTCAGACCTCACCCCAACTTCTGGCCAAGAAGATTCAGCCCAAGGTACGGAGGCAGCTCTTTCCTCTCAGGATCTGCAGGAGGGGCCTCAGCTCCTTCCAGCCCTGAGCACCTGGCTCTCTCAGCCTTAGCCCTGGGGGTGAAAGTGTAGTTGATATAGGAGCACTTACCCACCACCCACATACAGATGTCAGGCTGAGCCACAGAGGGATGGGGTGGCCCCGGCTAGGGCACCATAGAGGCCAGTTTTCCTATCTGCCCAGCAGCCTAGGTGGACCAGCCTTCCACTCACCTGATCCAGAGCAGAGCCCCGGGACACCAGAATCCCAAGGCCCTGACAATCTCAGGTGGCCTGGCGCGCCCCCTCTCAGACCTGTTCTGTTCCCTCCCTGTTCAGCCACCAGATCCTATGGGAGAGCAGCCCCAAGCTGCCTTTCATCTCTCGCCAAAAGCAGATGCTGCATTTTCAAACTCTTATGCCCTTTTCTTTTCCTCCCCTGTATTTATTTATTTATTGCTTGTGCTAAAGACCAAAATAGTCTTCCTCTTTAATGCACTTGAAATGGGAGGGTGGATGAGAGGAGGAGTTGTGTGTATGCAGAGCCAGAATCACTTGGCCCCTGGGGGTGCTTGTGAGGCGTGTGTCCATGTGGTGTATGGAAAGCATGTTAACCCTCTGAATGTGCTGTGCACAAGTGAGTGTGTGTGTGCATGTGTACATACGTGGTGTGTGGTCTGTGTGACGTGCAGGTATGTTCCAACCTGCTCCTGCCCTCACCCTCCCAGGAAGTGAGATTTCCAAGAAGTTTCTCAACAGTCTGAACCAGGAGGTCCAGAGGTTGGAGCGGGCTAAGGACGTGGCCTCTGCACTCTGCCCTGAGACACTGAGCTGCTTATGTGGGAAAGGGCCGTGCTGGCAGAAGGGTGTGTGTGACTGTGAGAGTGTGAGCACCAAGTGTGTGGATTTATATATGGAATTGTCTCATCTGTGTTTGAATGAAACACACAGTTATGGCTTTGCCTGCAAGTTCATGAGCGTGTGGATTTATGATATGTGGGACTGTTGTACAGATGTGTGCACACGGTGATCTCCATATATACAGATGTGTGAGTATGTATACACAAACACAGATAGTTATGTGTATAGTTACCCATAGGTGTGTGTGTGTGTGTGTGTGTGTGTGTTATATGCAGACGTTTAAATGTTCACCAGGCTGTAAGGCTGGGCACACACCACTCAGGATGCTCACTGGCCATGGACATCGGCAGAGCTGAACTCAGTAGTTCCACTGGCCCTCTGCCCTGCTCACGTCCATATAGGCTGTATGTGGAGTATGTGTGCCAGGGGGAGGCTTCTGGGTGCCTGGGCATGAGGTGATATCTAGATACGAATGTGAATCCTTGGCACCCAGCAGTGAGTGATTACATGTAGGAGGCCTGTGAACATGTCACATGCATGTGGTACATTTGTGTAGCAGCAGGGCTGGTGCCTGCCTGCTGGGGGCAGTGTGTGTGTGTGTGTGTGTGTGTGTGTGTGTGTGTATGTGTGTGTGCGCGCGCGCACACACAGGTCCAGGGAGCTGTGCACACAAATTTCAAGGGATTGTGTATCCATGTGTGCATCCTTGCATGCTGCCTCCTGTGCCCCACTGGTGCTGTGCCTCCCAGTCCTTGCCTGTTTAAAGGTCCCAAAGGGGCCTGGGGGGCCTGGTGGGAAGGAGGGCCCTGTCTGCCCTGAGTGAGGTCACAGAATGTCAAATATATTTTAAATGGTGAAACTGGAAAATTTTCATGTTATTTTCAATAACAAAGACATAGGCCACGAGACTAGACCACATTAAATGCATTTTGATCTCTGACTGCCACCATGTGGTGATGTGTGTTTGAAAGGCTCCACCTGGCTGCAGGTCAAGCTGGCCGTTCTTGTGTTCCCTCAGCCCCTCGTGTCCTGCAGTGATGGGGTCCTCCAGGGGTCTTTGAGGTGGGTGTGGGACATGGCAGCAGCTCAGGGACAAGGGACAGAACACAGTCTCCTTGTAGACCCTGGCATGCTCTTCCAGCCAGGACACATGCCCTCATTCCCCTGTGACTGCACACCCTCTCCCACATACATGGCCCTGAGTGTGTCAAACCACCTACTCGGACTAGATATCACACCTCCCCAGCTGGGTGACCTCACCACTGCCTCGTCCTCTCCGGGCCTGCACCTCCCACCTTTTCTTCCTTCTGCAAAGATGTGATAAATGCCTCCATGTGCAGGAGACCAGAGGCCCACTCTGGTACCCATAGTGCCGGGAACAAGACAACAGCTCTGGTTCTCACCGTTGTGACAGCAAGGGAACCTGGGATGGGTGGGGGTCTGAAAGACTCCTACTTCAACCTGACAGGGGGACGAAGGGCAGACAGGTGCTGCTGGCAGGGGGAGCAGTATGTGCAGGGAGGGAGATATGCAAGGCCCACTTCGAGGAAAAGAATTTCATCTGTACAAATGGCTCAGTCTCTGGGATTTCAATTGCCTTCTGGTCAAGGTCCACAGGGAGAGAATTCCTTCCTTTGCTCAAGCTGTTTTCACACAGGAATAACTGCACATCAATGACGGACCCGGGGGTGTTTCCTTGGGTTGTACCTGGGGTCCCCACCCCAGGACTCTGATGGGTCCATTGGGGCACTACATGGAGGATGCTCTGGCAGGACAAAAAGAAGCGAATCAGTGACCTGGTGCTTAGTTCCATCCTCTCTGACTCTGTCAACTGCAGTCCCTCCCTGGGCCTCAGTTTCCCCATTTGCAGTCTCACACACAAGGAATGCTCTTTGAGGGCCCTGAGTGCTGAACCAAGCTGTGTGGCCCACACGCTCTTCTTTTCCCTCCCAGGGTCAATGCTGAGGTCACCACTGAAGCCTGGGACTGCTCTTACTCCCTGCTGAGGCTCTGAGACTATGGCCTTAGGCCAGGACAGGGACCCCAGACCAGACTCTGGAGCACTGTGGTGGCACAAGTTGTATACTGCACAACCCCAGAGTTGCCATTCACAACCTAGATAATCGTGCACAGGTAACTTCTGAAGCTTCTCGCCTTTCCTCACTGCCTCAGGGCTCCAGAGAGGAGCTGCTCATGGGCTCAATGGGGAAGGATCACGGTATGCATGGAATATACAGTATGAGATGACAAGGATGGGGGCACAGATGGAGGCTGCTTCTCCAGGCACCAACAACTTTTTTGTGAACCCATCAAGTGGCTAGAAAATGTTTGAAAGGGTGGTACAGGCTCATACCAACACACACGCCCTGCACACACACATAAGCATACACACACACACCTAAAATGCACACAGATGTAATATGAACACATATAAATTGTATGGACTATTACACAGCCATGAAAATAGCTACCAGATACGTGCAACAACGTGGATGAGTCTCACAGACACAATGTTGAATGAAAGGATCCAGACATAAAAGGGCATATGCTGTTTAAGTCCATCAATATGAAGTTCTGGAACAGACATTAATTTGGGATAGAAATCAAGACAGTGGTTGTCTGTGGAGAGCAGGTGAGCCAGTTACTGGGTGTCAAGAGACAGAACTTTGCTGTTAGAACAAGTGGCTGGATTTGGGATCACAGAACAGGCAGCACCTGGATCAGGATGAGGGCCTGTAGGGAGAAGGTCCCATGTCCACATGTTCTGCCCAGCAGAGAGTGGGTTTTATAGCTGAAGTTTGGAGGTGAGTGACTTGCCTGAGGCTGCAATGTCACTTTTAGCTGGCCACCACTGGGAGCCATCGCTCTGCTAGCAGAGCCGTCTGGGGCAGGCATAGAGGATTGGCTGAGGAGGAGGAAGCTGAACTGGTGACTGGAGGGGTAAATTGGGTGGGGATGACCTGGTATGTGGTGGGGCCCTCCTGGTGGCAGGCAAATGGCACATGACATCCAGACCCTCCCTATTCAGAGATGCTAATGAGGCTCTGGCCCTCCCAGGTACCCCTCAGCACAAACAGGTGCCCCCACTCCCACTTTAGCCCCTTAGAACTAGGCCCCACGTGCACTTCCCCCCTGGATCGGGTCAGCAAACTGAGGCTCGCGAGCCACATGCAGCTTTTTGGGTATGTACATGTAACTCTGAAGTAATATTGAAAATGAAAATAATTAATACTATTACTTGTTATATATTACTTTAAATTTTCCTTATTTGTAAAACTATATTTATGGATCTCGAATAATTTTTAAATTGTTGTGAGGGACAGGATTTGCTCTTCCGTCTCAAAAGTTTGCCGACCCCTGCCCTGGAAGAACATCTGAGCTCAGCCTCTGGGGCCAGGTGGGCAGGTGTTAAAGTGAACTTTGTTAACCAGCCTTGTGTTTGTGGGGTCAGGGAGCCCAGCTCCAACCAAGGAGGGGCCCTTGGGTCCCAGCCCTGAGAAAAGTGTCCTGAGTGACCATGAGACCCCAGTCCATCGTTACAATCACAGAGGGTGGGCTGGGCTGGGGTCATTTCTTGAACCTGATGCTCAACCTCAGAAGCAGAGTATTTCTCTGTCTGCCCAGCCAGCTGGCCCCTATGGAGCACTAGGAAAGTCCAGAGGGCTATGGCCTGTACCCAGCACCTAACCAAAGGCAGGGACAGTAAGGTGTGGCTTTTACTTATTCAATGGTTGGGTGCTTTCTCCGTGCCTGGCCCAGAAATGATAAATGCCACAGACCTACAAACCAAGTGGGCAGCAGAGAACAAGGGCAGTCAGAGGGGCCCTTATGGAGCTGACCTTCATGTTGGCCCTGAAACCTCCCAGAGAGTGAGAATGGCCTCTTGAAGACCAACTCTTTGGGTGTGAACCTGGCTCCACTGCTCCCTGATTCTGTGTCCTGGCCCAGGGAGATAACTTCTTTGTGCCTCAGTTTTCTCTTCTATAAAATGAGGCTGATGATCACAAAGCAGCGCATGAGGAATGAAGAAGAAACAGGGCAACAGAAAGAGGAAAAACATAAGTACAAGCTCTTTTTGCTTTTCACCTATCTGGGGACAAGCATCCCAGGTTGGGACAGCCTTGGGTCAGTGCTCTGTGAGCTGGGGTAGCAGAATATGGAAGGTCTGGGTGGCTGGACCACTTAGAGCCAGGGACATAGTCCAAACAGGAGAGGGATAGGCTGTGGCTGAGGTCTGCTGACTCCAGGTGTGGTGGGAGCAAGAAAGACCCATGAAATGGTTAATTTTTTCAGAAGATCACTCTGGTTGCCATATAGGAAGTGGCACAGTGAGGCCAATGTGGTGGCCAGGAAGAGAGGAAGGTATTGGGCCAGGTAGGCAAGTGGGGGTTTGGACGAGTTAGGAGGCATGTGCAGTTGGGCTGAGCAGGCACCCTGGCTGACCCTGTTGATTTTGGTATGAGCCCCTGAATGGATGGGGAGGACTGGGTGACATTTTAAGATGCCAACAAATGGCACTTCACTTTGGGAATCGGTTTGGCAGTTTCTTATAAAGTTAAACATACATTTACTGTAATATCAGGCCAGTGCACTCCTATGTGGTGTTCAAGAGAAATGAAAACTCATTTTTCTCACAAAAACCTGTAACTAGATGTTTACAACAGCTTTATGTGTAATTGTCAAAACCAGGAAGAGACAGAAATGCCCCTTGCCTGTAAGCAGGTGACCAGACTGTGGCCTGTCCCATGATGGAATCCTCTAGAGCAGGGGTTGGCAACCTGCAGCTCATGAGCCACATGCAGCTCTTTGGGTATGTACATGTGGCTCTGAGGTAAAATTGAAAATGAAAATAATTAACATTATTACTTGTAATATTACTTTAAATTTTCCTTATTTGTAAAAATATATTTATGGCTCTCGAATAATTTTTAAATTGTTGTGAGGGACAGGATTGGCTCTTACATCTCAAAAGTTTGCTGACCCCTGTTCTAGAGGAACGAGAAGGTATGGAAGTTGATCCATGGATGGATACAGTTCATCCCAAAGGCATGATGCGAGTAAAAGAAGCCAGACTCAGAAGGGTCCCCATTAATATGGCATTCTGGAAAAGCCAAAACTATTGGATGTCAAGTACATCAGCAATCACCAGGGCCCAGGGTGGAGGAGGCGGTGACTACAAAGGGACAGAAGGGGACTTCGGGTCGAGGGGGAGGGAGTGATGAAAACGTCTATATCCTGACCATAATGATGGTCACACAGATGTCCATTTTTTCAAGACTCCCAGGACTGTGCAACAATGGATAAATATAGGTCAATTATACCTCTTTTTTAAAAAGGGGGGAAAAAAAGCAGTAGTCAACAAAGCTTACATGTAGAGAGGTCAATGTGTCTGGATTTTGGAGGAGAGGTCAGGTCTGAAGGTTGAAACTGGGGAGTCACCAAGGTGTGAATCGAACTGAATGATCATGAGAAGTTAGAAATGACATGATAAAACAAAGGAGGTGGGAAAGATGTTGAGAATGACTGGGGCTTCTGCTGAGCAGACTAGGTACCAGGTGATACCATCCTGTGTCATCCCAAAGTAAGGAGAGGTGATGCTTCAGGGGCAAAATGGGTCCCAGAGACCTCAAGCAGAGGTCAAGACCCTCCAGGGCATCTGATCTTCTGAGAAGAGAAGATGAGGAGCAGGGGCTCCACTCCAGGCCCCTCCTCCCCCTACCCGCCGCAGAGTCCCTGAGACACTTTGAAAGTGACTAAAACCCAAGGATGGCCTATAATTTATTGTCCAAGTCTGGGCCTTTTTGCAAATGGAAGGAGGCATAATTAATAATAATTACCTAGGGAACATAGTGGTGAAATGGGACAGTCCAGCTGGATCCTCCCCTCAACTTCTTTTCTCCTCCTGCCACATCTATCCCATCCCTGCCAGGCCCCTCAAGGGACATA